AATGTCGTTCCCCACTTACGCGGTGCCTTAATTATCAGGATTTTGTGTTCTCAACAAGAGAGAACTTTGTGGCTGATAAAATAGTACCAGAGAGGAAAACTTAAGCAAGAAAAACAGAAGAGCAGCTGAGGACTAGGCAAGACTTTGCAATCCGGATGAGATAAGCATGTGCAACGCCGGTTGGCAGGAACTGCAGGCACTTCTCTGCGACTCGTTTACTGCTCAGGCCTTTATCATTTCCTAATTTCGGCATTTATCGTCAGCTGCAGCAGAGGTGAGTCCTCCCTGTTAATGGTTTGGCTCTCATTTTTCCAGGTGACGCAGTACCTGCTGGACCAGTCATTTGTGATGGACGAAGAAACCCTTTATGAAGCTTCTCTGCGGATAGAGCCCAAACTGCCTTCTTGAGCCCAGAGCAGTGGCCGGCGGCTGCTCGTGTACACACGCTATACCATACTGTATATAATCTGTTTGTTTCTGTTGGACGCCCTGGAGTGACTTCCACGTATGTGCTTCTCCAAGCAAACCGCCCCCCTCGTTCTTAGGCCGCAGTAGACCTCGTGTAGGATTTCCTGCATCGTTTAAGGTTTCACGCATTGACACTTTGCTGGAGTCCCGGTTTCTTTTCAATGATGTTATTTTTGTCATTTGTTCTTCTCGAGGGGGCTGGCGGTCGGGCAGGTGAACCCGTGTGTTCCCACGGGGCCCTCGGGCAGCACGGAGCTGCTCTTGCTCAGACGGTATCGGCAGTAACATCCCTGGGCAAGCTCTGTAAGGCGGGGGAGGAGAACACGGTAAAGTTTATCGCTCCATGCGAAGCTGCCCTCTCTCTGCGTGCCACCCCCCCGTGCTGGCCCGGCGCCGGGGAGGCCTCTCGGCCGCTGCCCCCGGTCCCTGCTAAGTCGGGAAGATGGAAACGTCCCTTTGACTCTCCTCGCTGCATACGGCTCATGACAAGCTTCTGTTGATATGCTATAGATCCGTATACCTTGTGACCACTATGAGTAACATGATGTAGAATTAGAAAAAGATGACCGAGTGTTTTTATTACATATACTGTAATCCTGTCTAACCACCTTCTAGCAGGAATATAGTAATGTAGTGCTTATTCTGTGAATATTACCATGTATTTTTTACATTGTACAGTATATAAACACAGTTTAACTTTACAGTGGCAGGCATGCTCCACTCTAACAACCAGAACACTTTTGCTGTAAGCAATACCTCGTGGTATGAGAATTCTCTTTCAAGCCCTAAAACTATTTCAACTTACAGCTTGTTTGGAAAAATATTTCCATTTTTTGTAAAAATATATGTTTCCTGATTACCTCTTGCTAATAAATCTATTCTATCTCAGGGTGAACCGGGACTTGTGATGTTTTTCTCGGCGGGTCAACGCCGGACTCGCAGATGCCCCCCCGCTCCCCGCGGGGACGGGCCGCCCCGGGGAGGGACTGCC